GTGCAGCAGAAGTAATCTGTGCAGCAGAAGTAATCTGTGCAGCAGAACTGGACCTCTGAATTATCTCAGTTTGGGTTCATATATGTGAGCATCTGAATCCAGATGGGTCAGAGCCTCACCTGTCACAAACCTCACCGCACGTCACCGATATATGTATATATACATACACACACAATATAAATATATATAATATACCGTATATTTGTTAGTGCTGGGCACGTTAACTAGTTATTAACGCAGCCAATGAATAACGGTGACATTTTTTTTAAATGGCATTAAAATATATGCACACACACAGGATGTTGATCACTACTGGCTATGGATGACCATCATTGTGCGTCTCAACCAATGAGAGCCTTTGTTTTGCTTCAGACGTGCGGCGCTCACATGAACCAAGGTGAGCAGCAGGACAGGATCATGGAGAAAGGTACCGGACTTTACATGGACATTACAGTTCTCTGTAAGCACTGCAGCCACGCCGCATTGAAGCAGTCATTCATGCAAAAGGATTCCCGACCAAGTATTGAGTGCATAACTGAACATGATTATTTGAAGGTTGGTGTTTTTTGTATTAAAAACAGTTGTCTTTCATTGGTGGGATGAAATATGCTAATTTTTTGGGACAGGCATTTTGGGTTTTCATGAGCTGTATGCCATAATCATCAGTATTAAAACAATTAAAGACCTGAAATATTTCAGTTGCTGTGCAATGAATCTGAAATATATGAAAGTTTCATTTTTATCATTACATTATGGAAAATAATGACCTTTATCACAATATGCTCATTTTTTGAGAAGGACCTGTATATGTATGTATTTTTCATAGCCTAAATATTTAATAGGATCCAGAAAGTGCCCATCTTCTCTTATTACAGCTGAAGACATGTTCAAGTGTTTCACTCCTAAGTTCTTGTTATAAATGAATTGTTCTCCAACAGCTCGTAACCTCGTGCTGCTCAGTGTTGGTGCCACTCAAACTTTCTTTATCGTCAGTCTCACCACATGCGGGACATGAGGTGGAACAAAATTATGTAGAGTCCCAGTTACATTAAACAATAGCAAAAATATAAAGTGTAAAAAGAAACAGTACGGTAAATAAGGATCTAAGATATAAACTAAGATATATGCTAAAAGATAAACGCTAATAGCCACTAAAAGTGCCAAACAGTACACCGACCAACAGCAGCTCGACTCTCATAGGGTCAGTTCAGCTATAATTTACTGTTTCTCAAAGAGCCGAGTAAACAGGGGCAGCTGTGGGTGAGTGGTTACAGCAGTCGTCCTCCAACGGGAGAGTTGGGGGTTCAATTCCACCAGCAGTCATATGCTGTACGAATGTTGTGTAGATCTAGCATAGAGCTGTACGAATGTTGTATAGATCTAGCATAGAGCTGTGTGAATGTTGTATAGATCTAGTATAGAGCTGTGTGAATGTTGTATAGATCTAGTATAGAGCTGTATGAATGTTGTATAGATCTAGCATAGAGCTGTGTGAATGTTGTATAGATCTAGTATAGAGCTGTATGAATGTTGTATAGATCTAGCATAGAGCTGTATGAATGTTGTATAGATCTAGTATAGAGCTGTGTGAATGTTGTATAGATCTAGTATAGAGCTGTATGAATGTTGTATAGATCTAGCATAGAGCTGCGTGAATGTTGTATAGATCTAGTATAGAGCTGTATGAATGTTGTATAGATCTAGCATAGAGCTGTACGAATGTTGTATAGATCTAG